CCATTCATGCATACAACTAGGTATGCTATGCCCATACACACATACAGCCAGGCATGCTATGCCCATACACACATACAGTCTGGCATGCTATGCCCATACATGCATACAACTAGATATGCTATGCCCATACATGCATAAAACTAGATATGCTATGCCCATACACACACACAGCCAGGCATGCTATGCCCATACACACATTCAGCCTGGCATGCTATACCCATACATGCATACAGCCATGCATGCTATGCCCATACATGCATACAGCCATGCATGCTGTGCCCATTCATGCATACAGCCATGCATGCTATGCCCATACATGCATACAGCCAGGCATGCTGTGCCCATAAATGCATACAGCCATGCATACTATGCCCATTCATGCATACAGCCATGCATGCTATGCCCATACATGCATACAACTAGGCATGCTATGCCCATACACACATTCAGCCGGGCATGCTATGCCCATACATGCATCCAGCCAGGCATGCTGTGCCCATTAATGCATATAGCCATGCATGCTATGCCCAGACATGCATACAACTAGGTATGCTATGCCCATACATGCATACAGCCAGGCATGCTATGCCCATACACGCATACAGCTAGTCATGCCATCCCCATACACACATACAGCGAGGCATACCATGCCCATACACACACACAGCCAGGCATGCTATGCCCATACATGCATACAGCCAGGCATGCTGTGCCCATAAATGCATACAGCCATGCATGCTATGCCCATTCATGCATACAACTAGGTATGCTATGCCCATACACACATACAGCCAGGCATGCTATGCCCATACACGCATACAGCTAGGCATGCCATCCCCATACACACATACAGCGAGGCATACCATGCCCATACACACACACAGCCAGGCATGCAATGCCCATACATGCATACAGCCAGGCATGCTGTGCCCATAAATGCATACAGCCATGCATGCTATGCCCATTCATGCATACAACTAGGTATGCTATGCCCATACACACATACAGCCAGGCATGCTATGCCCATACACACATACAGTCTGGCATGCTATGCCCATACATGCAGACAGCCATGCATGCTGTGCCCATACATGCATACAGCCATGCATGCTGTGCCCATTCATGCATACAGCCATGCATGCTGTGCCCATTCATGCATACAGCCATGCATGCTATGCCCATACATGCATACAGCCAGGCATGCTGTGCCCATAAATGCATACAGCCATGCATGCTATGCCCATTCATGCATACAGCCATGCATGCTATGCCCATACATGCATACAACTGGGCATGCTATGCCCATACACACATTCAGCCGGGCATGCTATGCCCATACATGCATCCAGCCAGGTATGCTGTGCCCATTAATGCATACAGCCATGCATGCTATGCCCATACATGCATACAACTAGGTATGCTATGCCCATACATGCATACAGCCAGGCATGCTATGCCCATACACGCATACAGCTAGGCATGCCATCCCCATACACACATACAGCGAGGCATACCATGCCCATACACACACACAGCCAGGCATGCTATGCCCATACATGCATACAGCCAGGCATGCTGTGCCCATAAATGCATACAGCCATGCATGCTATGCCCATTCATGCATACAACTAGGTATGCTATGCCCATACACACATACATCCAGGCATGCTATGCCCATACACGCATACAGCTAGGCATGCCATCCCCATACACACATACAGCGAGGCATACCATGCCCATACACACACACAGCCAGGCATGCTATGCCCATACATGCATACAGCCAGGCATGCTGTGCCCATAAATGCATACAGCCATGCATGCTATGCCCATTCATGCATACAACTAGGTATGCTATGCCCATACACACATACAGCCAGGCATGCTATGCCCATACACACATACAGTCTGGCATGCTATGCCCATACATGCATACAGCCATGCATGCTGTGCCCATACATGCATACAGCCATGCATGCTGTGCCCATTCATGCATACAGCCATGCATGCTGTGCCCATTCATGCATACAGCCATGCATGCTATGCCCATACATGCATACAACCAGGCATGCTATGCCCATACACACATTCAGCCGGGCATGCTATGCCCATACATGCATCCAGCCAGGCATGCTGTGCCCATACATGCATACAGCCATGCATGCTATGCCCATACATGCATACGGCTAGGCATGCCATCCCCATACAAACATACAGCGAGGCATACCATGCCCATACACACACACAGCCAGGCATGCTATGCCCATACATGCATACAGCCAGGCATGCTGTGCCCATAAATGCATACAGCCATGCATGCTATGCCCATACATGCATACAGCCAGGCATGCTATGCCCATACACGCATACAGCTAGGCATGCCATCCCCATACACACATACAGCGAGGCATACCATGCCCATACACACACACAGCCAGGCATGCTATGCCCATACATGCATACAGCCAGGCATGCTGTGCCCATAAATGCATACAGCCATGCATGCTATGCCCATACATGCATACAACTAGGTATGCTATGCCCATACACACATACAGCCAGGCATGCTATGCCCATACACGCATACAGCTAGGCATGCCATCCCCATACACACATACAGCGAGGCATACCATGCCCATACACACACACAGCCAGGCATGCTATGCCCATTCATGCATACAGCCAGGCATGCTGTGCCCATAAATGCATACAGCCATGCATGCTATGCCCATACATGCATACAACTAGGTATGCTATGCCCATACACACATACAGCCAGGCATGCTATGCCCATACACACATACAGCCTGGCATGCTATGCCCATACATGCATACAGCCATGCATGTTGTGCCCATACATGCATACAGCCATCCATGCTGTGCCCATTCATGCATACAGCCATGCATGCTATGCCCATACATGCATACAACTAGCCATGCTATGCCCATACACACATTCAGCCTGGCATGCTATGCCCATACATGCATACAGCCAGGCATGCTGTGCCCATAAATGCATACAGCCATGCATGCTATGCCCATACATGCATACAACCAGGCATGCTATGCCCAGACACACATACAGCCTGGCATGCTATGCCCATACATGCATACAGCCATGCATGCTATGCCCATACACGCATACAGCCATGCATGCTCTGCCCATTCATGCATACAGACATGCATGCTTTCCCCATACATGCATACAACTAGGTATGCTATGCCCATACACACATACAGCCAACCATGCTATGCCCATAAATGCATACAGCCATGCATGCTATGCCCATACATGCATACAACTAGGTCTGCTATGCCCATACATGCATACAGCCAGGCATGCTATGCCCATAAACACAAACAGCCTAGCGTGCTATGCCCATACATGCATACAGCCATGCATGCTATGCCCATACATGCATACAACTAGGTATGCTATGCCCATACACACATACAGCCAGGCATGCTATGCCCATACACACATACAGCCCGGCATGCTATGCCCATACATGCTTACAGCCATGCTTGCTGTGCCCATACATGCATACAGCCATGCATGCTGTGCCCATTCATGCATACAGCCATGCATGCTATGCCCATACATGCATACAACTAGGTATGCTATGCCCATACACACATACAGCCAGGCATGCTATGCCCAGACACACATACAGCCTGGCATGCTATGCCCATACATGCATACAGCCACGCATGCTATGCCCATACATGCATACAGCCATGCATGCTATGCCCATACATGCATACAACTAGGTATGCTATGCCCATACACACATACAGCCAGGCATGCTATGCCCAGACACACATACAGCCTGGCATGCTATGCCCATACATGCATACAGCCATGCATGCTATGCCCATACATGCATACAGCCATGCATGCTGTGCCCATTCATGCATACAGCAATGCATGCTATGCCCATACATGCATACAGCCAAGCATGCTATGCCCATAAATGCATACAGCCATGCATGCTATGCCCATACATGCATACAACTAGGTATGCTATGCCCATACACACATACACCCAGGCATGCTATGCCCATACACACATACAGCCTAGCATGCTATGCCCATACATGCATACCGCCATGCATGCTATGCCCATACATGCATACAGCCATGCATGCTGTGCCCATTCATGCATACAGCCATGCATGCTATGCCCATACATGCATACAACTAGGTATGCTATGCCCATACACACATACAGCCAGGCATGCTATGCCCAGACACACATACAGCCTGGCATGCTATGCCCATACATGCATACAGCCATGCATGCTATGCCCATACACGCATACAGCCATGCATGCTCTGCCCATTCATGCATACAGACATGCATGCTTTCCCCATACATGCATACAACTAGGTATGCTATGCCCGTACACACATACAGCCAACCATGCTATGCCCATAAATGCATACAGCCATGCATGCTATGCCCATACATGCATACAACTAGGTATGCTATACCCATACACAAATACAGCCAGGCATGCTATGCCCATAAACACATACAGCCTGGCATGCTATGCCCATACATGCATACAACTAGGTATGCTATGCCCATACACACATACAGCCAGGCATGCTATGCCCATACACACATACAGCCTGGCATGCTATGCCCAAACATGCATACAGCCATGCTTGCTGTGCCCATACATGCATACAGCCATGCATGCTGTGCCCATTCATGCATACAGCCGTGCATGCTATGCCCATACATGCATACAACTAGGTATGCTATGCCCATACACACACACAGCCAGGCATGCTATGCCCAGACACACATACAGCCTGGCATGCTATGCCCATACATGCATACAGCCACGCATGCTATGCCCATACATGCATACAGCCATGCATGCTATGCCCATACATGCATACAACTAGGTATGCTATGCCCATACACACATACAGCCAGGCATGCTATGCCCAGACACACATACAGCCTGGTGTTGGAAATATCTCAAGGACTTAAGCGTTTCTGAAGTGTAACACTGTACTCGAGGAAGATTACAGGGGAGCACGCGAGTCAACGGAGGTTACACGAGGGGCGGACAAAGAATGCGAAAGGACTCGAAAGGTCGCAACTGGAGGTTGCGACTGACCGTTACAACATCACGGATGGTAACCGAAGCGGCAATCGAGTCGCTGTGCGACTCGATAAACCGTTCCTGTAACTGTATTCTACAACTGCTTTCTTATCTTCTATATATTGCTGTATGCTTGTTTCTTTAATCAATCACTTGTTCTCACATACTAGTACAAGGGTTCAACTGCCTCAACTTCCGCTGCACTACTCCAAGTCTCAAGTCTCTACAAGCTGGGAAGGTCTCTGCAAAAGATCCTAAGGGCTTTTTTCTCAGCCCAACACCTGGCATGCTATGCCCATACATGCATACAGCCATGCATGCTATGCCCATACATGCATAGAGCCATGCATGCTGTGCCCATTCATGCATACAGCAATGCATGCTATGCCCATACATGCATACAGCCAAGCATGCTATGCCCATAAATGCATACAGCCATGCATGCTATGCCCATACATGCATACAACTAGGTATGCTATGCCCATACACACATACACCCAGGCATGCTATGCCCATACACACATACAGCCTGGCATGCTATGCCCATACATGCATACAGCCATGCATGCTATGCCCATACACGCATACAGCCATGCATGCTCTGCCCATTCATGCATACAGACATGCATGCTTTCCCCATACATGCATACAACTAGGTATGCTATGCCCGTACACACATACAGCCAACCATGCTATGCCCATAAATGCATACAGCCATGCATGCTATGCCCATACATGCATACAACTAGGTATGCTATACCCATACACAAATACAGCCAGGCATGCTATGCCGATAAACACATACAGCCTGGCATGCTATGCCCATACATGCATACAGCCATGCATGCTATGCCCATACATGCATACAACTAGGTATGCTATGCCCATACACACATACAGCCAGGCATGCTATGCCCATACACACATACAGCCAGGCATGCTATGCCCATACACACATACAGCCCGGCATGCTATGCCCATACATGCTTACAGCCATGCTTGCTGTGCCCATACATGCATACAGCCATGCATGCTGTGCCCATTCATGCATACAGCCATGCATGCTATGCCCATACATGCATACAACTAGGTATGCTATGCCCATACACACATACAGCCAGGCATGCTATGCCCAGACACACATACAGCCTGGCATGCTATGCCCATACATGCATACAGCCACGCATGCTATGCCCATACATGCATACAGCCATGCATGCTATGCCCATACATGCATACAACTAGGTATGCTATGCCCATACACACATACAGCCAGGCATGCTATGCCCAGACACACATACAGCCTGGCATGCTATGCCCATACATGCATACAGCCATGCATGCTATGCCCATACATGCATACAGCCATGCATGCTGTGCCCATTCATGCATACAGCAATGCATGCTATGCCCATACATGCATACAGCCAAGCATGCTATGCCCATAAATGCATACAGCCATGCATGCTATGCCCATACATGCATACAACTAGGTATGCTATGCCCATACACACATACACCCAGGCATGCTATGCCCATACACACATACAGCCTAGCATGCTATGCCCATACATGCATACCGCCATGCATGCTATGCCCATACATGCATACAGCCATGCATGCTGTGCCCATTCATGCATACAGCCATGCATGCTATGCCCATACATGCATACAACTAGGTATGCTATGCCCATACACACATACAGCCAGGCATGCTATGCCCAGACACACATACAGCCTGGCATGCTATGCCCATACATGCATACAGCCATGCATGCTATGCCCATACACGCATACAGCCATGCATGCTCTGCCCATTCATGCATACAGACATGCATGCTTTCCCCATACATGCATACAACTAGGTATGCTATGCCCGTACACACATACAGAAAACCATGCTATGCCCATAAATGCATACAGCCATGCATGCTATGCCCATACATGCATACAACTAGGTATGCTATACCCATACACAAATACAGCCAGGCATGCTATGCCCATAAACACATACAGCCTGGCATGCTATGCCCATACATGCATACAACTAGGTATGCTATGCCCATACACACATACAGCCAGGCATGCTATGCCCATACACACATACAGCCTGGCATGCTATGCCCAAACATGCATACAGCCATGCTTGCTGTGCCCATACATGCATACAGCCATGCATGCTGTGCCCATTCATGCATACAGCCGTGCATGCTATGCCCATACATGCATACAACTAGGTATGCTATGCCCATACACACACACAGCCAGGCATGCTATGCCCAGACACACATACAGCCTGGCATGCTATGCCCATACATGCATACAGCCACGCATGCTATGCCCATACATGCATACAGCCATGCATGCTATGCCCATACATGCATACAACTAGGTATGCTATGCCCATACACACATACAGCCAGGCATGCTATGCCCAGACACACATACAGCCTGGTGTTGGAAATATCTCAAGGACTTAAGCGTTTCTGAAGTGTAACACTGTACTCGAGGAAGATTACAGGGGAGCACGCGAGTCAACGGAGGTTACACGAGGGGGCGGACAAAGAATGCGAAAGGACTCGAAAGGTCGCAACTGGAGGTTGCGACTGACCGTTACAACATCACGGATGGTAACCGAAGCGGCAATCGAGTCGCTGTGCGACTCGATAAACCGTTCCTGTAACTGTATTCTACAACTGCTTTCTTATCTTCTATATATTGCTGTATGCTTGTTTCTTTAATCAATCACTTGTTCTCACATACTAGTACAAGGGTTCAACTGCCTCAACTTCCGCTGCACTACTCCAAGTCTCAAGTCTCTACAAGCTGGGAAGGTCTCTGCAAAAGATCCTAAGGGCTTTTTTCTCAGCCCAACACCTGGCATGCTATGCCCATACATGCATACAGCCATGCATGCTATGCCCATACATGCATAGAGCCATGCATGCTGTGCCCATTCATGCATACAGCAATGCATGCTATGCCCATACATGCATACAGCCAAGCATGCTATGCCCATAAATGCATACAGCCATGCATGCTATGCCCATACATGCATACAACTAGGTATGCTATGCCCATACACACATACACCCAGGCATGCTATGCCCATACACACATACAGCCTGGCATGCTATGCCCATACATGCATACAGCCATGCATGCTATGCCCATACACGCATACAGCCATGCATGCTCTGCCCATTCATGCATACAGACATGCATGCTTTCCCCATACATGCATACAACTAGGTATGCTATGCCCGTACACACATACAGCCAACCATGCTATGCCCATAAATGCATACAGCCATGCATGCTATGCCCATACATGCATACAACTAGGTATGCTATACCCATACACAAATACAGCCAGGCATGCTATGCCGATAAACACATACAGCCTGGCATGCTATGCCCATACATGCATACAGCCATGCATGCTATGCCCATACATGCATACAACTAGGTATGCTATGCCCATACACACATACAGCCAGGCATGCTATGCCCATACACACATACAGCCTGGCATGCTATGCCCAAACATGCATACAGCCATGCTTGCTGTGCCCATACATGCATACAGCCATGCATGCTGTGCCCATTCATGCATACAGCCATGCATGCTATGCCCATACATGCATACAACTAGGTATGCTATGCCCATACACACATACAGCCAGGCATGCTATGCCCAGACACACATACAGCCTGGCATGCTATGCCCATACATGCATACAGCCACGCATGCTATGCCCATACATGCATACAGCCATGCATGCTATGCCCATACATGCATACAACTAGGTATGCTATGCCCAAACACATACAGCCAGGCATGCTATGCCCAGACACACATACAGCCAGGCATGCTATGCCCATACACACATACAGCCTGGCATGCTATGCCCAAACATGCATACAGCCATGCTTGCTGTGCCCATACATGCATACAGCCATGCATGCTGTGCCCATTCATGCATACAGCCATGCATGCTATGCCCATACATGCATACAACTAGGTATGCTATGCCCATACACACATACAGCCAGGCATGCTATGCCCAGACACACATACAGCCTGGCATGCTATGCCCATACATGCATACAGCCACGCATGCTATGCCCATACATGCATACAGCCATGCATGCTATGCCCATACATGCATACAACTAGGTATGCTATGCCCATACACACATACAGCCAGGCATGCTATGCCCAGACACACATACAGCCTGGCATGCTATGCCCATACATGCATACAGCCATGCATGCTATGCCCATACATGCATACAGCCATGCATGCTGTGCCCATTCATGCATACAGCAATGCATGCAATGCCCATACATGCATACAGCCAAGCATGCTATGCCCATAAATGCATACAGCCATGCATGCTATGCCCATACATACATACAACTAGGTATGCTATGCCCATACACACATACACCCAGGCATGCTATGCCCATACAGACATACAGCCTGGCATGCTATGCCCATACATGCATACAGCCATGCATGCTATGCCCATACATGCATACAGCCATGCATGCTGTGCCCATTCGTGCATACAGCCATGCATGCTATGCCCATACATGCATACAACTAGGTATGCTATGCCCATGCACACATACAGCCAGGCATGCTATGCCCATACACGCATACAGCTAGGCATGCCATCCCCATACACAGATACAGCCAGGCATACCATGCCCATACACACACACAGCCAGGCATGCTATGTCCATACACACATTCAACCTGGCATTCTATGCCCATACATGGATACAGCCAGGCATGCTGTGCCCATGAACGCATACAGCCATGCATGCTATGCCCATACATGCATACAGCTAGGTATGCTATGCCCATACACGCATACAGCTAGGCATGCTATGCCCATACACACATACAGCCTGGCATGCTATGCCCATACACGCATACAGCTAGGCATGCCATCCCCATACACACATACAGCGAGGCATACCATGCCCATACACACACACAGCCAGGCATGCTATGTCCATAC